TGCAAAGAGGTAACAATAACATCTTTTAAGGATTAGATAAAAGCTCCCAAATATTTAGACATTTTTGGCCTTTTGGAACTGAGTATGATGCTAAAAGGCCCAAGGACATTGTGACTTTTAGCCAAGAAACTGGCTACTTTTCTTTAGGGTCTTTTTACCTTAACTGCCTAGCCAATTCCTACCTATCATGCCATCCCCTGGAGGATTTACCCAAATTACCAATGACTGCTCTGGCTTCTTCCATGCTGAATAGGGACGCAGTGTGAGGCAATTGGAGTACCCCTTCAGTGGGTCTATCTAAAAGACTCAGACTCTCAAATTGCATAACTGTTTTTGGTGGGGTTTTTTGTTTGTTTGGTTTTGGTTTTTTGTGAAGGAGAAATAAAGGAAAGAGTAATTAGCATTACAAGTTCTAGACAGGGAACTAGAAAAAAGTCAGAACACAGCAAGTTTCAAATGTTCATATGAGAGTCCTTTGGAATTTCTTGACAAGGGCTTCCAAAAGTATCCCTCTATTGAGTTCCTCCTCATTTTTCTTTTGTCAGCCAAGGCTGGACTCAAGAGAGATGGATTCAAGATTTGCTTTCACCTATTTTGATAGCTATTGGTGTGGTTAGAATCCGTGTCAGTTCCCTCTCAAAGGCGTCTAGATAGGGGGAGAAAACAAATCTATCCATCATTTTAGAACAATATTTTTTGAATATTGTTTATTGACAAAACTCTACTACCAAGCTTCAAAAATAGTGTGAACTTTGTTACTGTTCTGATGAGTTTGACCCCCAGTCCCTCTCCAAATTCTGTGCCCCTACAGTCTTTAAATCATGTTACTTCTTAAAGAAACCAATGCTAATAAAATATTTTTAAATTTTGAAAAAAAAACAAAACAAAACAGAAAGCTGGGCATGGTGGTGCATGCCTTTAATCCCAGCACTAGGGAGGCAGAGGCAGGTGGATCTCTGTGAGTTCAAGGCCAGCCTGGTCTACATAGTGAATTCCAGGACAGCTGGGGCTACAGGGAGACCCTGTCTCAAAAAGACCAAAAAACAAACAAACAAACAAACAACCCCCCCAAACAAAAACCGAAAACAACAACAAAAAACATTTTTAATGAAGCTAGCAGCTTTTCCTTGAGCAGCTTTTTCATGCCTGTGTAAAGAAGTGGCTTTGTAAGTAGATGAATTTCCCTGTTCTGTTAGTTATGTGTTACTGATTTCTGACTGTCGCTTCATGTAGCCATAAGCCAGTACTGTCCAGCAAGCCATTCCCAAGTTCTGACAGAACTGTGAAAGGTAGTAACTGTTAGACATCTGAAGCAGTGTGAGTTGGGGGTATACTGCAATCAGTAGAGCACTTGCCCAGCATGTGTGAGGTCCTTTGTTCAATCCTTAGCACTACTGGGAGAAATGAAAAAAAAGAAAAAAAAAAGTGAAACCTTGTGATAGCACAGTGTAAGACTTCATAATCTTTACTTGAAAACTCTTATTAGTAAATCACTCTACATTGTTTCCTCCTGGAAAAGAGAACTTTAGAAGAAAAAGATAAAACTTGCAATCATAATTACACTTCCTTAGTCAAATATAAAAAGGATATGTTTAGTCTTAAGGTATTTTTAAAAGTATTTTTATTTATTATTATTTTTATTTTATGTATATAAGTGTATTGCCTACATGTGTGTAAGTGCACCCATGTCATGCAATGCACATGGAGGTTAGAAGAGGGTGTCACATCCCCTGGAACTGGAGTTACAGACAGTTGTTAGCTGCCCTTTGGGTACTCGGAGCTGAACCTGGGTCCTCTTCAAGAGCAACTGGTGCTTTTAACTGCTGAGCCATCTCTCTAGCCCCATCTTAAGGTATTTTTCTAATTGTAAAATAATTCATTTTCATTATAAAAATTTTAAAAATGCAGAGAAGCAATTAGAAGAAAGTTTTAGAAAAGCCCATTTTGGTGGTACTCCTACAGTATACTAATACTCAAGACACACAAACCTTTTTAAGAATATAATTGGAATCACATGATTTATATGTGTTTTTTCAGTCTTTTTATTATTATTTATTTGTGCGCGCGCGCACGTGTGTGTGTGTGTGTGTGTGTGTGTGTGTGTGTGTCTGTGACTGTGTCTGTGTCTGTGTCTGTCTGTGTACGTTCATGCAGAGGCCAGAAGAAGGTGTTAGATCCCCTGGAGCTGGAGTTGCAGTTGGTTGTAAGCTGCTAGATGTGGGTCCTGGGAACCAAACTCATGTCTTATGCAAGAACTATAAACTCTCTTAAGTGCTGAGTCATCTCTTTAGCCCTGTCAGGATCTTGTGCTTGTTCAAGCATATGCTTTATCACTGGGCTCCATATTTGTTTGTGGTTACTAAAAAAATATGAATGTTCTACTGGAGTGTGATCTAAGTTCCACAATAAATTAAATAACGTGCCCAGAACCAATGTTAGACAAAAGGAATTTAAGATGAAGCATTTGATTTTAATCTTAAATGAACTTTTAGATTCCTTACATTGACTTGTGTCCTAAATGCCGTTCTCCTAGGTAATAGGGAAGATAGAGTATAGTGGTTATTTTCAATAATTTGTTCGACATTTATTGGAGGAGAAGCTGAGTACTGTTCAGCAAAAGAGATCGTCTGATGGCAGCTTTCCTGTGTCATGCTGCAGCTCTTGGCTCTGATTTTCTGTATTTCATTTAGCAATTCAGAGCCTTGCAGCTAACTTGAGTTTATAGATTTTTATTTGAATCTTCTCTAGGGGACTCTGCCTCCTTCAAGCAAGTGATCTTTTCACCATCACATTAGCATTTTCTCTAAGGCAAGTTCTTTTCTGCAGTGTTTATTGGCCCTTACTGCTTGCCCTGCTGTCCATCAGCCTGGCTCTCTTTTGAGCAGATTTGCTTATCAGCTCACACTTGCACTCTTTTTAAAAAAAAAAATTTATTTGCTATTTTTATTTTATGTGTATGTGTGTATTGCCTGCATGTAGGTCAGTGCACCCATGTTGTACAATGCCCACGGAGGACAGAAGAGACTGTTGGATCCCCTGGAACTGGAGTTACGGATAGTTGTTAGCTGCCATGTGGGTGCTGGGATTCAAACCTAGGTCTTCTGCAAGAACAGTCAGTGTTCTTAACCACTGAGCTATCTCTCCAGCCCCACACTTGCACTTGTACTTTCCCTTCTCCCCAGTTGTTTCCTCTCCTAGTAGTCTGTGTCCCCATGACTGTGTCCCCACGACTTAGCCCCAGTGTTCCTGTCTGCTGCACCTTATATGGTCTTATCTGGTCTCTCTCTCTTTTTTTTTGTTTGCTTGTTTGTTGTTCTTTTGACACAGGGGCTGCTATGTAGCCCATGCTGGCTTTGAACTTTTAAAAATAAAACTTAAAAATATTTTACTTATTATTTTTATTTTATATGTGTGAATATATTGCCTGCATGTGTATCAGTGCACCCGTGCCGTGCAGTGCCCACAGAGGGCAGAAGAGGGCTTTAGATCCCCTGGAACTGGAGTTATAGATGGGTGGGAGTCAAACCTGGGTCCTCTGCAAGAGCAGCCAATGCTCTTAACTTCTGACCCATCTCTCCAGCCCTTATTAAAAAATCTTAAATTAATTTTATTTATTTTTATTTTGCCTGCATGTATATTAAGTGCACTACGCTTATGCAATGCCTGTGGAGATTAGAGGGAACACTGGATCCCCAGGAACTACAGTTATAGTTGTTAGCCAACATGTGGATGCTGGAACTGAACTCAGGTCCTCTGCAAGAGTAGCAAGTGCTCTTAATAACTGAGCCATCAACCCCAACAATATATTCTTAAAACCCATGAAAAATTAAAGTAGGCTATGCTTCAATTGCAAAAGCTCTTAACTTTTTAAACTGGTATGTTTTGATTCTTGAAGATAAAGAGAAGTGATCAACCTAGTGCTTCATATAAATATATCTGAGTTTAACATGCCGAGTCTATTTTTTACCTTATATTCAGATAATCTTGAGAAAAAAAAATAAATCTCATATGAAGAGATCAAGTTTCTTTCAAGTGAATCCCTCCCTTCCTTGTCTCTCCTTCTTCCCATCTCTCTCCCTTCCTCCCTTCTTTTCTTCCTTGGTTTTTGAGACATGATTTCACTTATAGCCCAGGCTGATTTTGAACTCATAGCAATCCTCTTGCCTGTCAGCCTCTCCAGAGCTGGGACTATGGGTATGAGCTACTACCTCTACCTTTAAAGGAAACATTTCTTGAATTTATTTTTAAGTGGCTCTTAACCTTGAAAGAGGCAATCCAGGAAAGTTAGCCATTTGTTCAACTATGCTTCTACCAGCTAATTCCTTTTTAGGTTCATTTTCAAAATTGCTTCAGAGCCAGTGAAAAATTACTTCCGTGTTTTATTTTATAAATGAACAGTTTTGCTTTAAAAAAAATGAAATGAAAAGCCAGGCATGGTGGCACACACCTTTAATCCTAGCACTTGGGAGGCAGAAGCAGGTGTATCTCCGTGAGTTTGAGGCCAGACTGGTCTACATAGTGAGTTCTAGGCCAGCTGGGACTACAAGGAGACCCTGTCTCAAAAAGACCCAAAAGAAGAAAAAAAAAGAAACAAAACTAACAAAAAAAGAAATGAAGGTACCTCACTTCTTCCATTCACTTCCTATTAGTATTTTATTCTGTTGAGAGGCCAGTTATGTTGTTAAGCCAAAAGAAAAAAAAAGAAACAAAACAAACAAAAAAAGAAATGAAGGTACCTCACTTCTTCCATTCACTTCCTATTAGTATTTTATTCTGTTGAGAGGCCAGTTATGTTGTTAAGCAGTTGAAGATCTGACTTGTAAGCCCATAAGGTATATTACAAAACAAATAAGCATAAAGAGCAGAGAGCATTGTAGAACTTTGTAAAGCGATAGATAACTAAAACCCCAAAATGTTGAGACCTGATGACTAACTCACCCACTTCTTTTACATTTGCATTTTATCTGAAATCAAGTACCATGCTTTGTGCTTTCCTGCAGATGAAAGGTATGGTGTGCCAAAATCTAGAGAAAGCGTCGTACCTTTGTAGAAAGAAAGCAAACCATCTGCTACCAGAAAAAGGCCAAAAGTGGGTTCTTTTTTGTATGACCAGAGTGAAAGCTAAGAATCTTATGTTTAAAATATGGCCATAAAATGACTCTTCTTTTACTGTTCTTGGCATTGAAGACTAGAGACCTGTTTTGGATGGTATATGTGGTTTTAAAAGTCAAGATACACGTCTTTGTGAGAAGTACTCGAAGTACTGTTGGTGTTGTTAGAAGGCATGCAAGTTTCATTGTGAGATAAAATGAATTATTTTTCTCATATGACATGTATTATCTTGGCCTTCATACTGGTAAAGGCTTTAATTTTTAATTTTTTTCTTATAATTGTTTTAACCTTTTATGTATAAAAATCACATTTTATTTACTTAAGTGTCATCAGTATGTGAGCTTTTAAATTTTGTTCTTAAAAATCTTTTCTTTTTGTTCCATTTTTTTCTTAAGCTGCACATCATTGACTCCTGGACCGAACTGCGACCGTTTCAAACGTCACATACCATATGCTAGAGAGACATTAAAATGTGAGTAAATGATGGCTGTTTTGCTCAGAATGTAGGGTGCGGTGTTAATTATTGGAAGTTGTGGTTTAGTTTTTATTTCCGGCTGTTAAGTGTTATCTTCTGATACTGATCACTACCAGTCACCACTTTTGTTATCTACCATCCAGTCCTGGTTCTATTAAAAGTGAGGCTGTTGGCAGGGAATAAGTTGCAGTCAAATAGGCCTGCATGGAAATTGTTAATTTTTAGGTGTGCACAATAATGCTTACATATTTTTCCTCCAAGGGAGCTCTTATATAATATCTCAATAAAAAGACCTATTGCTTTGGGCACGTGAAGTGCCTGCCACTGAGCCTGATGACCCAAGTTCGATCCCTGGATCCACATAGTGGAGGGAGAGAATGGACTCTTGCAGGTTGTCCTCTGTCTTCCACATGTGTGCCGTGATACACCCTGCCCCTCCCCGCCAATAAATAAGCAAAAAATGAAAAGATTTGCTCCTTTAAAATACCTATTTAGAAATAGTTTTTAGGTAGGAGTGGATGCTATCTTCACTGTTGCCAACCCCTTCTGGAACTGCTGCTGTCAAAATCATTGTCACTTATGTGTCCCTAGTTGCCACCTGAATATAATAATCCTTCCTCTGAGATCTTGGCTTGGGCAAGTTGAGTCAACATGTTATGCCTTTTATAGCAAGAGTTAGAGATGCAAATGACTTGCAAAGTCCAGACTGATCATGTAAATAAGGGAAGAGACCAAGTTTGGCAACTTGGGATACCCTGCCTTTGAGGAGACTGCCTGTATAAATGCAGAAGGCAGAAATCAGAAATTTCATTAATTTTATATTAATCCATCAGTTTTAGATGTTGGCTTTTTCAAAATTAAATATTATTCAAGCTAAGTTAATATGTCTGAAGGCTGGCTTGGGCTTCTGTGTTGCAGGCTTGTGGCATTGCCTGGATAGTATACGAGGTATATCACTGGACTTTAGGTCACCATCTACAGTATCTCTCTGGATTGTATTAGCTTTTCTCTATCACCAGCACTAGTACTGTAGCTTTTGCCTTGAGTGTCGGTAATTACACCGGCATTTTGTGTCCTGAACTTGTTCTTGTGGATAGGGTATTAAATCTCCCTATTTATTAAAAAGAGGAATAAAGAACATGGGTATTAAAGATCAGATAGGTGGGCTGGGGAGATGGCTCAGACCATAAAGTGCTTATAAAGTGAGAGGACCTGAGTTTGATCCGCAGAACCCATATTATAAAAAGCTGAGCATGGTGGTACATGCTCATCCCTGTGCTGGGGAGACAGAGGCAGGCAGATCCCTGGGGCTTGCTGATCAACCAGCCTTGTTTACTTGGCTAATTCCAGGCCAGTAAGGAACCCTGTCCAAAAAGTGAGGTCGACAGTGCCTGAATAATGACACCTGAAGTTGTTCTCTGGCCTCTTCATGTACTTGCATGTGTGTACCCACATGCACACACAGAGAAGATGGAATGGGTAGGTAAACTGCATTTTGGACTACTGACTGTTTTTTTTTTTTTTTTTACCATTATAAATTAGGGGCTGTGTTGCATTGGTGCTATAGTGGTAAGCATAGCTGCCTTCCATAAATGGGGGGGCATGTATCAGTATTATCTAGAATTATTTTATATTAACTTACCATATTTATAATATTAACTGTGTTAATGAAGCATTAAAAGGGAAATTTAGGTCATGGTGACTTGTTAACCTTGTATTGCTAGACCATTCTCAGAAAAACATTAAAACACACAAGAACTTCACATGTGAAGTAATAACATAATCAGATTGCTGCTATTTTTTCAAAAAGAAATTATTAACTAAATTTAAAAGAAATCTTCAAAGTAACTCACTCATGTGGACAGAAATGGAAATAGTTGTGAAATTACTTTATTTAAGGTAGCATTCGTCTTATGGAACATGTTCCCTGTCCCACTCCTGTTTTCTGAGGAAACCACTTATAATTTTGAGAGATGGTGTCAGTTTAGTTCTTCTGAGGATAATCTCCATTTCTCTAGGTAATAAGCTTATGCATGCTTTTTGACTGACCAGTTTTAGACATTATCTTTTGACTTCCTGCCCTGATATATGAAGCATCAGCTTATTTTCACTATCTCTCTCTTCCTCTTTCATATAATTTCATCTCCATTATTGGTTCCTGCATTGGTAACTCTACAGTGTAAAACTTTTAACTTTTTTTCTTCTGGTGATAGGGATCAAACCCAGGGCCTTAAACAGAAACTTGACCACTGAACAGCATCCCCAGGCCCCTCCCCTGCCTCAATTTTACTTTTTCCTCCCAACAATCATTTTAAGCAATGTACAGTTAAATGAACAGTCCCACAAAAATTCTTAGGAAGTGCTGATACATAGTTAGCACTGTTACCAGCTAAGGATGATCTCTCCGCAGTGGTGATGAATATTTTATCTAGATTCCCACAACCATAGTGTCTTTTGGCTTCATACTTATAGAAGGTTATGAGCCCCTTATTTTTTCTTTCCCCTTCCTTCACCTTCATTTGTCTTCTATTTTTCCCTTTTGCATTCTCCAGATGAATCATTTATTGCCTTTTCTAAATCTAAATGGTCTCCAGTGCCTTGTTCATAATTGCATGCTTGCTCTGCAGGCCTGTTCCTGCGTTCATTATTCTCTGGGATTTTACCTTGTTTTTCTGTACACTGCTAAATTATCCCTTAGGAAATGGGTCACCTACTTACTTACATCAGCGAAACCTGGTCTCAAATAACTTGCTCAGATTTTGTTCTCTCTCCTACTTCTGCCTTTTTTTAGAGTTCTGCCAGTCAGCTTTTATTTTTGCCATTACAATTGGGCATCTTACTCAAAGTTTCTTTCTTTTTCTCTGTTCCTCTTTTATATCATCCTGTTCTTATTTTGTGAATACAATATCCTTCACAGTCTTTCTAAGAGTAAAATTTAGAGATTTCAGAAATGCTTTTGGGACTGGTGAGCTGACTCAGAGGATAAAGATGCTTGTGCCCAGGCCTGGTGACCTGAGTTCAATCCCTGGTCCTGACATGATGGAAAGGGAGAACAATTCTACTTTCCTTTCTGTTGCTGTGATAAAACACTCTGATCAAAAACAACTCAGGGAGGAAAGGATTTATTTGACTTATACTTCCAGGTCACAGTCCATTATTGAGGGACATCAAGGCAGGAACCCAAGCAAGATCTTGAAGCAGAAACCATGGAAGAATGCTGCTTGCTGGCTTGCTCTCTAACTCATACACAGGCTTATCCTTAGCTAGCTTTCTTATATAGCCCAGGACTACCTGCCTAGGGATCATCATCCTCACAGTGGGCTGGGCCTTCCTGCATCAATTAATAATCAAGACGATCCCCCATATAAATGCCGCAGTCCAATTTGATGTAGGAAATTCCTCAAACAAGGTTTTCCTTTTTTACATGACTCAAGGTTGTCAAGTTGACAGGGTGGCTTTTAGTTAATCTCCCTGTTCATAGCCCTCTGCCTCATTCACTCTCATGAATCTGCAAGTTTTCGGGTTTACCAGAATGGATGGCCTTCTTCTCATCAATAGGCTCTGCCTCATATTATTATGAGGCAAAGCTTTCTCTACCTCATCAAGTACCAGTTCCATCACATTCTGTCTTCCAAAACTTTACCAGAACTGATTGCTACTTACTTCTCCTCATCCTTTCCTTTCTATTGTTTTGTATTCTATCTAGTTTTTACTTTTATTCAATGGGATGGGAAATTAGAAAGAATAAATACATTCCACAAATATATGTGGTCTGTGTTTTTAGGTGTATGAATTTACGTTATGCTATGACATATTTACTAACATCTTGTATTTCCTCATTGCTGTAAGATTTTTTACAGGGAACCTGCCATTCATCATATATTAGGCATATTCTATCAAACTATTGCTTGACACCATCATATACTGAGGACTTATTTTAGCCCTTTGCATGCTCTATGGTAGGTAAATAAGTGACCGTTGTATCCTGGGCCTGATAGCACTAAGATTCCAGCCTTAAGCAGCCTATACCTAATAGATAAGAGAAATAATTGATTATGGAAATTATATTTACATGAGTTCATTGAATTAGAAGGATGAACTGTTTTTTCTTTCTGAAATTGTGTGTGTAATGTGTATGTATATGTTTGCATGTATCTGCATGTGGGGGTCAGAAGTTGGCATTAGGTGTCTAACTCATTCATTCTTTACTTTATTTTTTTGAAACAAGTTCTCTCACTGAATCTGGAGCTCACTGACTGGGCTAGGCTGGCTGTCAAGTGAGCTGTAGGTATCCACTGCCTCTGGCTTCCCAGCACTGGGATTATAGACATGTACTTCTGAGCCTGACTTTTTATGTTGGTGCTGGGGAGCCAGTCTCAGAGCCTCTTGCTTCTATAGCAAGTACTTTACTAACTGAGCTATTTCCCTAACTCCTTCCTTCTGAAATTCTTGACTTTATGGGGAAAAATGTTCTGAAGAATGTTGCTGATATGCTTAGGTTTATTGTTAGAATTAGGATGTGGCAGTGTGGTATAGAGTTAGGAGAGGATTCTTCTTTTAAGCCTAGAGGAAAATGGTATTATGAATAAATTCCCTCTAGACTTTAGAAAGGTTTAGGGTTTGAGGTGCCATTTTACCTTTTCCCTTAAAAACTTACCCTAACTCAAATTTCTTTCCTTTGAGGTACTCTACTTCTTCAGTATGGAGGCCAAACCATAAACCTTTTTTAGCTTAGAGATAGAAATTGTTCTTTTTCTTTTCTTTAATTTTTTTCATGTAAATAAAGAATTTTGCTGTATATTATACATATACATTAGGCATACAATAAATATTTGTTTGCATACATACAGTGTAAATATACATTTGTAAGCTTCTATTGCTAAAGTATTACAGAGAATTGGATTTTCAATAATTGTTTTACTTCGGTGTTTTGCTCCTCTTTCTAGATAGAACTACTTTTTAATACAAAACTGCTTTGTCTACTTGTATTTACAATT